GTAAACCCTTGTATCTACGACTGCGCTCCTCATTCTTTCATCCACAATTACGAAATCTATCATGCTTCTATCAACACCTCTTTCCCATGTATACATGTGAATCTTCTTATGACGAAAAAAGTATTCGTCACAAAAAGATTCTTTTCCACACATACGGTGAGGTCTTCACCATACTCATTTGTACTTTCATCACCAAACCTTCCCAATATCCTTTCATAACCAGACCTCTTCATCCCAACCCCTTCCATTAAAGTCTCCTAACATAATAATATTTTCATTTTCCTTACATTTTATCAACACCATCCTTACCATGTCCCAAAACTGCTCTCGGATGTAGTGGGCTTAGACATGTCTGGGGCGTACACCCCCCAGATAGATTTGTTATCTTATCACATTTGTAAAGGTTACGTCTAGAAACCATTTGTTAAAAATTTCCCACTCAAAATCTATCGATATTTCCTTTACCACAGAATAAATAATAGTGCTACAGAAGTTGCACTCCTTTGATGTCGACTGCTTACCGACGTTTAATAGCCTACATTATTATTATTAATCAGATAAATCGCAACACGCAAGCTAAATAAAACTTTATCGCTGCGCGCTAGTGTCCATCTTACTTTGCATCTTTTTTGTCGCGGCGGACTTTCCGTGGTTATTAAGGGATGTCAATAGAAAGTAAAAAAAATACATTGCGAAATGTTAATTATGTTACTTAGGTGAAGTACTAACTAATATTCTGACTATGATTGAACCATACTTTCGCCCACATGTGAGTGCTGCGATGCCTAACGCATTCATTGGTCATTCGTCGGGAATCGTAACGCTTGGGAGAAATATAGATAGTGTAAATAACAAATAAACCTGAAATACAATTTCTAACAGAAATGTGATCTATTCTATTTAGTTAAAAATCTTGTTAGTATACAAAGTTTTAGTTTTAGTATTTTGTGTTATTAAAACTCAAAATATTTTAATTACAAAAGACAAGTGTAAGTAAATACTTGGATAGTGAAGTAAATTTTAACTAATTGTTGTATTGAAGTACTTAGGTATTTCTTCTGTAGACCAAATTATTGCTTAATTCTTTTTTGCTGTGAGTATTACCTATCTAATAAAAAAATTGAATAAATTTTTTAACCTTTCATAACTTCCTTCTAAAATTCTTCGGTAACTTAAAGAATGATATGAAGCCTTTTGTTGGTCATTTCATTTAGTATCCATCTAAGCATCAGTTATAGTAGGAACTACGTTTTGCTGTTTTAATTTATCAAATAGGTAATATACATAATACCTATATAATTTTTAAAATACATTAAAACTTTTACAACTTTTTTTACCTACAATTAAATATACTAAACACTAAACAAAAACTATTTCAACAACTATTTACATAAAACTATTTACGTAAACAGCGGCAAAAAAACTTAACATTCGATCGCCACCAACGCGCCAGCCCTGACTGCGTTATTTCGCCTGGGCGCGTCGCGATTTCAGGTAATTATTTCACGCAGGTAGCAAGAGTGATAGAGGCCTGCCTTTACCTTAATATTGTTAAAAAACTTGACATTTGATTTTACATGTATACAATAGTAAAATAACGGTTCAAGCCCCAATTGAAGCCCCTCTTTATTTTCTATACAAAATTGACAAACAACCACACACCTGCAACTTCTGTACAGACCACTTTATAATTTGTCTGTACCTGCAACCAAGCCTACTCCATTCTGTTCTCTGTTTTGTCAACTCTAAGAAATAAAGATATAATGCCTAACAGCCTGTACTTATACGCTCATCATTAGGCTCCCTTACCTTCCAATGGTGATCAAAACAGTAATGACAGCTGCTTGGTGGCTAGGTGCATGCACTAACCAGTCCCTCGTAGATTTCTTGGCGACAATATGGTCCTACCGTTTAGTGAATTATCCTAGTGATTAGGATAAAAAAGATATAGACCAGGATTCAGGACCACATTCAATTCATAAAGAAACAAAACAATTTTACATGCACACATATTATATTTAAAAAAAATACACGATTTACTTGAGAATTATAAAAGCTCACTTTAAAAAAAATCATCTTATTTCGTCAGGAACCACAAAATTATTATATAATCGTAATTTTCACATCATATAAACAATTTATCATAATGTTGTTTTTGTTATTGTTACAGCAAGTCCAAACATCTGTATTGAATAGTTTTTGCTTATAAAGTTTCAATATAAACAGTGATATGGTGCTATTTTTTCCTTCTTCCTATTATATATTTGTTCCTTCCTCTAGACACAAAAAATTAACAATTACTGAGCAAACGTGCCAACGGTCTAATTATCCTTATTCCAATTAGGGATAAGAATCCTTACTGTGCAGTGGAGATGTAAGAAAGAATATCCACTAGCCTATATCATCCGTGGCTTTGGCAAAAGCCGACAGCGTGATAGAAACCAAGAGATGGGCTGCAGCGCGCAACAACTTAAAACAAAAAAACCGCGGTCGCCAATCCGCCTGCCATGAGCGCCAACTAATACAAGGCAACAACTAAGGCAAATATCTCCTCTATGCGGCAATCTAAGCGCGAGGGCTACGCTCAACATTGGACTTTTGAAGGCTGTAACGGTAAAAAGTATACAAGTCCGCAAATACGTACTGGAGCAGGACAGCGGATTTCTCCAACAGTGGGACGCAAATAGACTGCAGTATTTTTACTTTACCGCCAAAATCAAGTCAGTATTATTTTGTTATGGAATTGTTCGATAAATTTGAAATAACATTGGGAGTTTCTAAAGTAAGAATGAATATAAATAGATATTTCAGACAAACATTTTCTCAATCTCGGAACACATAACATCAGTTGGATTTTCAATGAAGCCTTCATAATAAAAAGTTAAGAGCAAGCAGTATATAAATTAAAATGGCACATACATTATTGTTAATCATCCTTAATTCATATTTATTATAAAATGAAATATATAAAAATAAATGTAGCCTGTTCTTTTTAGAATGAGTTTTTATGTAAACAACTTGTACCCGCACCACAGATTTTTTGAAGGGTGACAAACGAGCACACAGTCCACCTGATGGTAAGTGGATGCTGTGGCCCATAGTCATCTACATTTAACTTCGCTTAAGAATCAAAATGCAGATATGCCTTGTCTCCCCTGAGGACTAAGATAGAATGCCTCGTTTCCAATAAAAAGGGGTCTCCGGTTCTCTACACTCACCATACGAAACACAGCAGTATTGAGCTACTTTACGCGGGTATTCTGTCCGATCGTGGGCCTTCCCCGGTCGAGCCGACCCATTCGTGCTGCAACCATAATATAGCTGCAGCGTGGCTCTACCATTCCATTGTAATATGTGAATTTGGCAATCTCTCATAATGTTTTTTTGAGGTGAAAACGTCTTTAGATTCGTTGTGGTTTAAAACTCGATGAAATAAAAAGCGAAACTAAAATGAGACAAATATATACAGCTACAGGATTTAGCCTGCGAGAAATAAGGTAGAATAAATACAATACGTATAGTTTTCTATTATGTATGGATATTATAAATGTGATCTATGAGCAGGATTACAAACGTAATTTGGTGGTTACAAAATATTAAAACTTAGTTTGTATAATACATAATGTAAGTAGAATAAGTTGTTAAAATAATTCTCAAACTTGGTATCTAACAATATAATAATAAATAAATCCCACAATTATCCTACTGATACTCTGCATTCATCTTATTCTCTCGAATTTAGTTTTCTGAAGATTTCACTTCCACCGCTTCCAACGCTTGTGAACTGCTCATATGTTGTTTACATAGAAAAAAAAAATATATATATATATATATATATATATATATATATATATTCTACCGGATAGATAGGTCCTTCACTGCTGGCCGAGGACGCTCAAAGTCGCTCAGCGAGCTATGGAGAGGGCTATGCTTGGAGTTTCTCAGCGTAATAAACTTAGAAATGAGGATATCCGCAGTAGAACCAGAGTGACTGACATAGCCCACCGGATTATTAAGCTGAAGTGGCAATGGGCCGGCCATATAGCTCAAAGAACCGACAACCGTTGAGGAAAAAAGGTTCTCGAGTGGCAGCCTCGTACCGGTAGGCGAAGTGTAGGGCGACCCCCCACTATATGGGGTGACGACCTGGTAAGACATGCAGGAAGTCGATGGATGCAGGTGGCTCAGGACCATGCTTTGTGGCATACCTTGGGGGAGGCCTATGTTCAGCAGTGGACTTGTGAAGGGCTGTAATATATATATATATCAACATGTAACATAATTAAAGCACTTTGAGAAAGTAGTTTGTTCAGAATCGTTTACTGAATCGATTCCTATCATTTTAATATAGGTAAATTTTTTATCCCAAAAATAATTAAAACTATGTAAATTACAGTCACACTAAATCTGTACAGTCAAAACAAGCCGTAACTTAAGGCAATAAGACTTTTAAGAGTGCAGTTTTATTTGTATTATTACTAATTCTGTCATTCAATAAAAATAAAGAAAAATTAACGCACGTTAAAGTCTTTGCGTTCGTGGATTTGTACTGTGACCACAACATTCTTCCGGAATTAGTATAACTAATTTGATAAATAATCAGTGCATAAAAATGTTTAACTAAAAATTCAGTGTGTGTATTATGATTATAACATAATATACTAATTGGGGTGTCTGAGGGTGAGCGTTAATTACGTTACATATTGTATATACATCCCGTAACTTATTGTACGTCCACTATGGCCAATTTTACATATAATGTGGCGTATATATATATATATATATATATATATATATATATATATATATATATATATATATATAAACCAGAATTATGAGGGTATATTTGTATATGGATGTGACGATGTATATTTTGGTTCACATAAAATCTCATGCTAAAGTTCACAAGGTATAATACTTATTTTTGTACTAGAAATGTCTTATATATCAAAATACTATGCTAACCTTAGTTTAAGGGGTCTTATTCGTTAAAAAGGGAATTAAAAATTTCCTCTCAACTGCGGGACGGCCGTCATCAAGAACTTGCTCAAGCTTGTAAATCGTTGGTTAATAACTGTACTAAACCATAAAATGATGTCTGTATCTAAATTCTCCATCTCTTCCTTGTCTAACGTGTCGTATATATACGGCGCGAACGCTAAATGATTACGTATACTCAATTTGGAGTCAACATCCGGTATTATATGACTAAGTTTCTCAACAGTCTGTGGATGCAACCTGTTGAAAATAAATCCGTCCTTTCTGCCACTTAGGAACTCTTCGTTGTATAAACACGATATCATATCCGAAGTGTAGGCTTGTATAACTTGAAGTTGTTCAATATCCAGGCTGCTTTTCTGTCCTTTGTCCTTCGCTCTTATTGATGAGATTTTCCTGTACCTATAATCAATTTATAATTAATTTTCAAATACAAATATTGTTATCGTTTGTAAAAACAAATACAAATATTGTAACCACTAAACATCACTAGGATATAATCCTATATTTATTATATATATTATAGAATAAGGATGACAAACGAGCACACATTCCACCTGATGGTAAGTGGATGCTGTGGCCCGTAAACATCTCTTATCTCTATTCTTATCCTCAATTAAGAATCAAAATCATGATGCGTTGTCACCCCTGAAGACTGAGATGGAATGCCTCGTAAAAAATATAGTGTAGTATGTAGTGGCGGCGTAAGTGAATCTACCACCATATAATCCTATGGGTGTCGTTACTCGTTAGAGGCATCAGAGTAACTGGAACAGAAGATGGACAGCAACATCTTCCTGATAACGAGATAATATTTAAAAGAAAGAACACATACAGACACAAGTTTTGCCAACTCATCTGTCAATATGGCAACTTTGGCAAATGAACTTTGGTAAATGATAGGCTTTATGAACGAATAAATGAATCCACCATCTGTGGGGTCCAATAACTTTTTCTGGCACAGTCGACACTTACGACAGCCACAGGTCGAGATGATGTAGTAATCTCAAAAAAGTGTCTGCGTTACTGTCTGTATCTGGGAAGCTGAGACACTATCGAATTTAAGGCTTGGACCCTCTAAGCCTATGCTTAGGTTGCAGTATTTAAGAAGAGAACACATTTGAAAAGGTTTCTTTATAATTCCAATATCGATATTATTTTTACTATAATAAAGTTTCAAAGTTGCATTGTCTCTTGAAATAAATACCTTACAAAAAAATAACGGCGGCCATGTCGAGCTTGTTCTAGAACACCATTTAACTTAAACCCCTACTTTAAAAGGGTTAGGGATTATCATATATGGCCTCTAAAAATAAGCATTTTTATAAAGCGACAAAAACCAAGTGTTGATTGACTAGTATAGAATGCGTAAAGTATTAAATTAACCTATATCACCTGTTCAATAAATGATGATTAAAAATTAATCAGTTAATTAGTTTAAAGCTTTAAAAATTAATTAGGTAATTAATCTTTGACATTGATATTATAATGGATTTCCACAAACTATTAATCAGGGTCAGTAATGTATAATATGGTAATATGGTGGTGTGAAGCATATCCACTACATCATATCATCCCGCGGGTGTCGTAAGACGCGACAGATTAAAACTGAAACAGGAGATTGGTAGCAGCATTTTTTGATAACAACTCAAATAATTTAAAAAAAAAACTGTGTAGAATGTTAAAAATCCTTAGTTAAATTTTTTGAGTAGGCCAAAATATAACAAAATATATACAGGGTTATTGCAATAATCGGTCAAATTTGCAGAGAAAGTTCAGAATACGTAATACAGGAAGATGGTGAAGAAAAATTAATTTAAAAATCTCAAACATTCTATCTTTTTATGTTTTAAATTCAAAATACGTGGTAATGCATTATTTTAACTGATTTTTACTACGCACGCACAAATTTGTAGGGGTCGATCGGTAGGCAAAAACGTTGTTGCCCATAAATCACATTTAATATGAGATAATTTAAAATAAAAGTAGAACCCTTATTTACTCGTATTTTCAAAAACTGCAATAACGGTATATCACTATTTATATATTTGAACTTAAGAGAGTATATTCAAATAGGCGCAAGTCAAAATCAACTACAATGCTACACTACAATGTTTCTTTCTGTGTGCGTGTCTGGGCGAGTGCAAGGCTAGTTGCCCTTAGTTGCAACTAGAAGAATTAAATAATTCCCACTTATGAAGTCGGTGCTAAAACATAGTGTATAGAAATCGTAAGCTAATACGTGGAAATTATTTTATTATTTTAGTAAATTGAATTCGGTTTTACATATTTACCCCATTGAGTAATTAATATAACAATATTTTCTAATTGAAAAACACTTAATATATAAAATAGATATCGTTTGATAAACTTTTATTCCGTGTCATAATGTAAACATAATTTATCAAACAAACAATTTCATTGGTGTTGGCGGGTATCGAACCCGGATTGCTCGCATTTACGGCGTGCATTTCGCCCTTGAGTAGTTCAAGGACTGAGTAGAACAAGAACTCGAGCATGGCTCATATCTTTTTATGTCTGTTTTATAATAACGTTATCTCCATACTAGGAATTTTTCCTAAGTATATCGTGGCTACATTAGTAAGTATATTTATTTCACAAGAACAAACATTCAGACCCGGAACAATTATTTATTGGTTATACAAATTTTTGTTCCGTGCGGGATTCGAACCCGCGACCCTCAGCGCTACAACTCATTGCCAAGTCACTCCACCACAGGGCCGTCAAATATATATTTTATAGTAGAGATGGCCGAATTTTTGTTTTGAATCGATCTTCTGGATCATGGAGGTTAGAGGGAAAGAGAAAGATCGCTACGTACTTAAAGCATAGCCCGCCTGTCCCTGAACTGCCGTCGGTAAGTAGTATCTTGCGAAATTAGCTGTTTATGAAGTACAAGTAGATGAAGTTAGTTGAATAATGTACAAATTTTCTTCGCGGCATTGGTGAGAAAATAATCGTGCTCAGTAATTTTTTTATTTTTGACAAAAAGAAAACTTAAAAAATGGTGAAATATTGTATTGTGCGTGGATGTGCAATCGGTATTATAGCATTTGATCTGAAAAATAGACTGAAAATGACTTTTATTGAGACAACTTAGCGATTGCAGCGCCTCATTTATTTTGTCCATATTTCTAGGACACTATTTTCTATAGCGATCGTTCTCCTTCTCTTACTCATGTCTGAATAGTATTTATAAAAATGAAGGAAAGCACACGAAATTATTTATTTTAACAATGCTTATTACGGTATCCATTGAGTTTTTTTAAATAACTATTTTTGAAGAATATAAAACAGCTTTTACATTAAAAACTCCTGTTAAAAATTCACATTTTAACTCTTCAAAAATAATAATTTTGACAGCCGCACTGGGTCTAGCCTACTACGACTATCTGTTATTGTATTTTCAGCCCAACAGACACATCAATTATATTTATTTGTATAGAAGATAGATACTAACGATTTCGGCCATTGCTGTGGTAGGACTTTCTTCACTTTTGCTTAACTCAGAATAAGTGCCTTTGTGATGACGTCTGAGATGATTTTTTAAATTGGTAGTGTTTCCACTAGTTTTAACCATTTCTGTTTACACATTTCACACTGTCCACCCATGTCATATTTAATAAAAAAAGCTCAAACGTTTGATTTGGTTGGCGGGACCAAATTAAAAAGTATTTCAAAATAATAGTTTACGCTCACAGAGCAGCTGAAATTTTCGTATTGCAATAATACAAAGAATGAAAGATTATATAACAGTAACATAGGTACCCGTTAATAAAATAAACAAATTTTTAGCATACCTACCTTTAGCATTGCCAGATGTCCGGATAAAGCCGGACACAGGCTTTTTGGTTGCGTGTCCGGCCAAATTAGACAGTATCCGGCTTTTGTTAGGCTTTTTAAATTTGACCATTTCAAAATATAAAATTTTTCGTATACTAACATACATACTATTGCAATTATTGAAATTAATATTGTAATGAATATTCAATAATTAATAATAAAGAAGACTGATTTATTCAATTGTTGTTATTTCGTTAGAACTTTTAAGAAGATTTTACGGTAAATGATTAAAAGCATTGTTTTACTTTAAAAAAACGTCTTTTACTACGACAAAAAATAAAGGTGTCCGGCTTTTTTACCACAATGTCCGGCTAAGCTCGCTGGTCTGTCCGGCTTTTCGGTTTTAAGATCTGGCAACTCTACCTACCTTTATATTTCATACATTACCGCTTTTGATTTAACTCTAAGCTACTCTCATTCAATGTTATATTTTTATATAATTATTTATTTTAATAATATATTAGTAGTTTTAGTTATTATGTTCCCTCCCCGCCAATACTATAGTTATATAAATATCGGCTTGTACGTTACGGTTCTGTTGATGTTTAGGTTTTAGTTGTTACGATTTTTTCATACGACCTTATAGGCATACGATTCGATCTGGGTGAAGATTGCATTCCCTTGAATCGATTCAAAAATCGGTAGATCTTCCAGAAAATCGATTCAGATCGGGCATCCCTATTTTATAGTGATAAATATTATATTTATAAATTGCTTACTATTAAAATAACGTGACGTAACGTATTAAACAAACGTTACCGTGTAATGGCGGTGTAAGAATATCCACTACCTTATATCATCCTGTTGGAGGTCGTAAGAGGCACAGAGGGAAACGAATCAGGAGATGGGCAGCAGCATCTTCCTAAACTTCTTAAAAATAAAAAACTGCGGTTGCCAACCCGCTTGCCAAGCATGGCAACTGGCAAATATCCCCCCTATGAGGCAATCAATGGGGTAGGCCTATGTTCGGCAGTAGAATTGTTACGGCAAATAAACGTATAAAATTATTAATAAGATAATAAAAAATCGGGAGCGTGAGCGCGAGCAGAGTCGCGCGCGGCACGCAGGCTCATAAGTAAATAAAATCGAGTACTAACAGCATAATGAGGGTATCGAGAATCGAGATATCGCTAGGTTATCGAGAAGCCCAGAACAGGGCGCCAGCAGCGCCACGGCGAGCTGGAGCGCGAGCGGTAACGCGCGCGGCACGCAGTCCGGCGCGCGCGCACACGTCAGCTCCGTACATAAGTAAATAAAATCAAGTACTAACAGCATAATGAGGGTGGCTAGGTTGTCTAGCAGCCCAGAAGAGGGCGCCAGCAGCGCCACGGCGAGAGGGAGCGCGAGCGGGAACGCGCGCGGCACGCAGGCCGGCGCCCGCGCACAGGTTAGCTCCGCGCGCGCGCACCGCTCCAACGCTACGCCAATGCTCAGCTGCACGCAGACTTCCTCTACAGACCAACCATCGTACACAGATTAAACACGCACACCTCTACAGAGTACAGACCAACCACCGTACACAGATTAAACACGCACACCTCCCCTGCGGACCCAAGAACACTTGTGCAAGGAATGCAATTTGTCGCCAGAAATAGAAAGAGAGTGATACCTACACATACAAAACAATAGACATTATGACATGCCAAATGAAAACTTATTACATAATTAAATTTTCGCTCCACTGGGTTACGCGCGTCCACTTTATAACATCAAGACAATCATGATCCACACATATTATGAGATCACATAATACTTGTATGGGGAGCTCAAGCTATTACTTGGAAATTTCTCATATTTCAGAATGATAACGATTGTTTTAAATTAGACTAAAGCCCTTCAAATAGTGAATATCTTCGTATCTTCATACTGAACAACACAACACAACCGCGCACAGTTTAAGCAAGCAAACTTCCTTTGCGACCTACCTCCGTACAAAAGTTAAATAAAGAGTTGTAACGCCAAAATTAAACAAGCACAATGTTTAAAACAATAATTACTGTTTAAAACAATGTTTACTGAAAAGTCATACATTATTCTATCATTCCCCCCTACTGGCGACCCACCCTTGGCGTTATTTAGATTTAGTATAACCAAAAAAAATACATTAGTTTTATCAGTTTTCCCATTTCCAAAAAAATATTTCCCACGAGCGCCCCGCGCCGGCTTCGCTTATTTATTAATATTTAAGAAAATCTTCCAAGACCATTTTGATTTATTATTTCAATTTTCAATTTCTCCAAAAAAATTCCAATTTTTACAGATAAAATATAGTCTGAATCACTCATAGCAGTGCTCTCTATCTTTTCGTAAAGATTCAATACAAGCGGTTTAGCCTTTCCGATGATTAGCCTGCACGGAAAAACAGACAGATGATGTCTTAATGACAAGCATATAATCAAGTTACCGTTCCCGTCATCTCAATAAAAGCAACTTTTTTCGATATTTATCAATCACAATGAGATACAAACACTTCAATTTTAGTTTATATAGATATCTGTATGTTAAAGCCAATCAAACCATCTAAATTAGTCTAGTTAAGCTGTCCCATTTGTGCTGGAGCTGTATTATGCTGCAGCATGGCTATACCATATTAGCCACCACCCGAAAAAAAACTGTTTCTAGGACTAGCAACTTTTTCATACAAAAAGGGACTTATTTCCTTCTTTTTATAAGTAAAAATTTGATTAATATTTAATAACATCTGTTGTTGTTAATATTTCAAATTGCTTATTGAAACCAGAAGACCGAGTGCTGCATAAACTTCAATGAAAAAGAAAAGCCTGATAAAAGAAAGAAATAATAAAGATTTATGTGCATAAAGAAATGTACGCGAGTGCTCCATCTATCTTTGTTTGTTAGTCACGACCGAGACATAACAAGAACAAAAAAAATATGAAATATTTTTTACCTGGATTTATTTGTAATCCTTTGTTATAGAGGTCATTTAGGTTTGACGCAACCCTACGTAAGATTTGGGGATAGTCAGTCTGAGATGATTGCACGCTCATAAAATATCGTTGTTTACGTGTGCTAGTGTACACCTGAAACAATAAAATAATCTATTTACTTTTCTTTCAACACCTAAAACTATTTTTGTCAATCCAGCTTACTTACAAGATGACAATACATTGCAGATAAACTTTTGAGTATAGCGCATTGTTCCAGTGGTTGCGCTCTGTAGTAAATCTTCATTAGAGACTCCATAATAGAAGCAATGTATTCAGAAAAATCCACGCTTATCCATTCAATTAGGTCCATTATCTGTGAATGCATGGTTTAAAAATGATATACATGTTTTATATATTTTTAACATTAAAGTGACAAACAAGACAACAGCCTACCAGTGGCTACAGCAGTTGACATACACCTGCAACCAACAAATAAAGATAGCTACAAGTGCGTTGTCGCCCTAGAAACAAGGTGAAATGCCAGAATTTTACTAACACTCCATGACCTTTAAACCCTAACACAACAGTAGATGCATTGCTTCCTTGACATGAGGAATATTAAACTATTAAAGTGAAAGCCAACTTCAAAAAACCAAAAAGATTAAAATAATTTCCACATAACCTTTTAAAGTGAGACTCTAATACTACTATAGACTATACCCAGTACATACATCAATGCTCATTTATCTTTAAAAAAACATGTGCATAATGATTTCTTATATTTACGCGAACACTACACATTGATTAAAACTACTTTTACGGATTTTATCGCGTTTATTTTACCATTATTTTTATTCCCGACTTTTCGGGCGCTTTCCAGCACCCTGGTCACGGGGGACTGAGATGACTGACGTCCCGATGTCATTGTTAAACCCGGAGTACCTTCAGCTTTTTTAATTATTGTTTATGGTCCGATCTATGCAAAATGAACTGACTATGTCCTGAGGTCTTGCAGTGGTACGCTTGGGTTTAGTTTTAATTTTATTGATTATAGGATCCCAAGCAGGTGGTAGTACCCAGCCTCCTTCTCTATTGAAATTAGGATGTTTTTTAATTTCAATAGCCTCACGTATCATCCTTGGTAGGAATCGGTGTTCTTTCACGAGGATTTGTGGTCTATCAAATCTGATGTAATGGTTGGGGCCGTCTAGGATATGATCGCAAACTGCAGACTTCCCGGTACGTTCATGCTTCACATCAGCTATTGTTCTTTTACGCAGGTTCTAATTGATCTTTTTGTTTGTCCTATATAAGAGAGACCACATTCACAATCAAGCTTGTACACTCCTGCATCTTGTAGAGGAATATGACACTTTACTGGTGGTAGGAACTGACTAATCTTCTTCGGCGGCTTGTAGAATGTTCTAATAGAAGCTCGTTTCAAGATATAGCCAATCTTGTCTGTGACACCTCTAACATATGGTACTATAGCGGGCACACGCTCGACTGTGGCGGAGGAAGAAGTGTTGTGAGAACTGGGGGGCCAGGTGTTTGCTGTCACAGATCCCTCGTGCTCTCTGTAACAAAGATTTGCCCACGGTAGCTAACTGTGAAGGATGGTGGTGAGATTCACCATTTAAATATCGGTTTGTATGGGTCTTTTTCCTATACACAGTGTGACCAATGGCGTTGTTAGGATTTCGGATGACTAACACATCTAGGAAAGGTAAGGAATTATTTGCCTCTAACTCCATAGTAAATTGAATTTTAGAGTTTATGGAATTAAGATGTTCTAAAAATGCAGTTACTTTGTCTGATGGTAAAATTGTGAAAGTATCCTCTACGTACCGCTTGTAGATCCTTGGTGTAACAGGTGCAGTAAGGAGGGCTTTCTCCTCAAAGTCTTCCATGAATATATCGGCGACAATGGGAGATACAGGTGAGCCCATCGCAACACCATCTACTTGCTTGTAAAACTCTTCCTTCCACAATAGATAGCCAGATGTAAGGCAATGTCTGAGTAATACTGCACATTCTGCTGGCATATTATTTTCCTCTAGTTTCCTAGTTATAGATGTTTGACGTCCCAATGTCATAGTTAGCCCGGCTACCTTCAGTTTTTGAATATTAATTTTTGGTCCGATTTACGCAAAACGAACTTACAGTATCTTGAATTATTCAATGTGTAGTGTTCGCGTAAATTTAAGAAATCATTATAGGAAACACTATATTTAAAAAAACTAGCAATAGTATTTTGTTTAAAAGACAAAAAGAGACAGTAGTCAAATGGCGGATTCGAACCCACAACCTGAGTTCGCGGTGTACACTAGCTATAGGTCGTTGACGGTTTTGCCGTTAACGAAACGTTAACGTTGATTTAGATTTGTCAACTCAACTAGTTAAATTCGTCAATGAGTTAACGTACCACTTACAACTTGCAAACCGTTTATTCATTCAACGGTTTTTATTCAACGCTGCGACGTTTAATTTTAGAAACAATTTGATTCAATGTATGTATTGGAAAACGATGGAAGGCTTAGGACTAAATACAATTAGCTATAAACCATATTCTACTCAGGCGTATTTAAAAGACCATCTAATTACAGTACATAAATAAATTATTATTTTTTTTTTCATATTTTTTCTATTGAATTTGATGATTTTATGTACATTCGTCAATTTGTTCTGGCTTTTTTAATTTGCCGTGGTTGCTTTGTACGATATTCTTTCCTTGCATACGTTACAGACAGTTTTCCCGCTAGAATCGTCTTTTTCCTGTTACCCCTAGTACGCCCTGACATTTTCAATTTTGTACCTTAAGTAGGTAGTTCTATTTTATACAAATGTATACAATTATATAAACACAAGTTAACACTTTTACTATAAATATTAACTAAAAAGTCTACACATTTACGATAAGCCGCAAAATAACTTTTGACCTTCCGCGCAACTTGTCACAAACTATTAATCAAAAATTGAACTTCATATCGTTTGTAAACCTAAACAAAAAAACAGTATTAACCTGTTTCCCTCGAGCGGCACGAGCGGGGTGGGCCATTCCACCAATATCGTCATAAGAAATATTCTTAAAAAAAAATATTTCGAAAATCAACTCTTAAGGTGACTCTAGTCGACATTATTTCCATAGAAATTTCGGAGGGGTTTTACTCCGCTGTTTGACAGTGTACATCCAAAGTTAAACATGATATCGTTTTGTCTCATTATTAATTTTGTCTGTACCGAAACAGAATAGTAAAATAAAAAGTCAGTAAAAAGTTACGAGCTACCAAAGATTCGTTTTTATTACCAATTTTAACACAACTTTGGGCGTAAATTAGTAATAAAAGCACTGTAAAATTTCCAAAACAAAGTCGGTACCGACACAGCTCAATTATCGAAGAATTCAATAAATTTTATTGGTAATTGATTCATGCAGTGAGTTTTTCATAAAACCCCTCCTTCCAAAGGCCTTTTCGTATTTTTTTACGCGCGCGTGTTTATATGAATTATCGTGTATCTCACTGAATAATTTTTCCCTCGGTGCGGTGCGGGAGGACGACACTTACACACACATGCATGCGCGGTGACGCGCGCTTATTCTAGTTTTATTCGACGTCATTGTCAGCTGCGGCCTGTGACGTTCGTATGATTATAGCTATACCTGCGCTCTAAATTACTACGCTACATTGACCCCTGCCTGAACTTTGGATTAAATCAAATTGATATAAGCACAGACAAAAATACAGGAATATATAAATAAAATTTTGAAAAAAAAAACGATCTCAAAATTTTATTAATGTTCCGCTAATTTTGTCTGTACTTACCTATGTCAATTTGATTTACATTCGATTATAATTATATTCTCAGACGTGCAGGTTTCCTCAATATGTTTTCCTTCACCGCCGGGCACGTGGTAAATCAGCACAATTGCAATTAACAATTTCATTGATACCGACGGGGATCGAACTCGGGTCTGCATGTCTGAGAAATTAAAAAATATATATTTCGAAGAAATGTGAAGTTCATCAACACGCATTGAGGCAGCGTGGCGGACATTTCCTTGCCTTAAAACCCTCTCAGAAATTAGAGGAGGCCTGTGCCCATCACTACTACCTGCCTAAGTACGTCGGTACTAAGGAAACAGTCTTGACGGGTCACTTGTCTTGATAAAAACATGTGTTTACATCTTGTGATATTGTGTGTATATAAAAAAAGTAAGAAGACAGGTAAGTATTTTTGAAAACAATTTATAGGTAGGCAGAACTAATTATAATTATTATCTAAATATTATAAGTGCGAAAGTTTGGATGGATAGATGTATGTTACTCAATCACGCCAGAACAGCTGAAGGGATCTGGATGATATTTAGCTCAGAGATAGGTTATACCTGGTCTGGAATAACACATTTTTTGATACCGTTTATTCAGGTATTTCGTTCCTGTGGGATAATTTTCGAGTTCACGCGTTTGAAGCCGCTGGCAATAGCTAGTACGGATATAAATTGTGATGACTGTTCCAGTTCATGCTTCGGCGTCGTGAACTCTTGAGTGATCGCTGCATGACCACCCGGGGAAAACAAAACATAATAAAATAAGCAATCTATATTAGGTATCTATAGAGCCATAGAGGTATAGTATAAAGCGATAACGTAGCGCAGTGCCTAATAATTTAGTACGAGTTTGTAGGTAGGTACTGCTGATTTCTTAGCAAGCGTCGAGCGGCACAGAATAGGGTGGTATGTATGTGTGCATCGTGTTCGTGTAACTTCGTTTTTGTTCTAACGGTTCGTACGAACAAGACGTGCGTTCTAACTGCTCTTCACTGGTACTATCTCTGTCGGGCACGATGCCAGGTGAGACAACGTGCTTTTTGGCCGCGCCCACCAATGAGTTCGAGCCCGCGACTTGAGCCACCTTAATATGTTTCTTAGTTATTTTCAACGTGTTTTTTAATTTGCTTAGTTCGTTATGTTTGCGTTCCTAATTATTGAACGAGACACACGAGTATAATTCATAAACGTTTTTGACGAATTCAACTAGTTGATTCATAAACAGTTAACGTTAATACGTTGACAGGAGATCACGGGTTGATTCAACTAGATCGTTGATTGAACACTTATCTCTAGTTTACACTGTATTCTATCTCTTTCTCTCACAGGCTAAAGGTGTGAAAGATATAGATGTATATGTTTGTCCCTTTTTAGTGTCGTTTTTTCGTTTCATCGAGTTTCAAATCACAACGATTCTAAAGTAGTTTTCACTTCATAAGCTATTATATTTCATATTTCAAGTCAGATCAATAAACTGTAAACATTACCTCAGCAAAGAAATCCTTTTCATTCCAGAATGGTAAAAATTGAGCAAGAAACCTTGTGATGACAGGAACACCCTGCACAATTCTCTGTTGAAATATTGCCAGCCTACGTAATAGGTCCCGTTTCTCGGCATAACTATGAGGAGATATATCAAGGAAACCTGTAAATAGACAACACAATGTTTTATAGCTGTAAATAGTCCTCATTATGATGTTTATTTCTTTGATATTGTAACAACAACGACATTATATTTCAGTGCACCTGTAAGTGGCTAATTTAGCCCGCAGATATTGCGTCACCTCTGAAGGCTATGATGTAATGCCCAATCTGTAATTATACTAACCCTTTTATCCTACAAACCAGAACACACTAATGGGTACTCTGCTTAGCAAACAAAATAGTTAAAATATTGACACCAAACTAGACCAAAGGCAAACTGGAGTAGAGGCAGAGTGTTGTTTGATTAGAGTTAGCTCGTGTAACATACAAGTTAACGTAACCGCAATAACATTAACGCAATACGTTTTTCAGGAGACTTAAATTGCTCGTTTTGTTTGTATTCTTTTAATATACTGAACACTGTGGTCATACCGATTACCAAAATTTCAGCTGTCTTAGAAACACATTTTTTTTTCCGGTACGACTGTCGCGTTACTATCACACAAATCAAAGCTGCATATTTACACGCTCACGCACACAGCGTTTTTTGAGGTTCTATTTGACTTTTTTCTCTTGCGTAGACTTTCTTACCCATAATCTGTTTAAATTACAGATTCTTAAGGTTGTTAATGATGACCCAGATTTACCAAACTTCTCTTGGAGTACCTTGAGGAAAATTTTTAAACACTCAAATTTCAAATACGCCACAAAATCAAGAAAAAGCGTGCTAATAGGCTCCAGTGTTTCGAAAAGCTAACTTCTGTATTCCATAATGAATTCCAGCGTGGATACACCACTCTTGGTGACAAATGTCGTAAAGGATGTCTCAAATCCGCCTTCACTGAAGATAACATCGTTGCTATGAGAAAAATAATTCTCGAAAATCGTCATGTGACATATGGAGAGATAGGGGCATTATTAGGCATCTCAGGGACAACAATGCAGTGGATCTTGCATGAAGCGCTTGGTGTGAGAAAGCTAATTTGCCGTTGGATCCCGCATTTGCTTTCCAACTCGCGCCGGATGGTGTAAGAAAACGCCTCAAAGGTTCTACCGAGGAGAGTCAAATCACGTCTACGATATCATCAGTGGTGAAGAATCTTTGATCTATGCCTAAGATCCATATTCTAAACAACAATCTACAATCTGGGTCTTCCAAGAGGAGACAAAGCCCACTAAAGTTGTTCGCTCTCGAAGCACTTCAAAGAAAATGGAGGCCACGGTCATTGCGAAAACCGGCCATGTTGCGATTATTGCACTTGAAGATCGTAGAACGGTTAACGTAGAGGGGTACACCACAATTTGTTTACCATAAGTCATCGCCGAAATTCGGAAATCTAACCCAAAGCGACACATCATCCTATACCATGAGAATGCAAACTCACACAGTGCTGGTCAAACAAAGGAAGGAAAACGTAGCAATTCTTGACCAACCTCCATACAGTTCTGAACTAAGCCCTAACGATTTCTTTACATTTCCTAAAATTAAGAAAATCTTCGTGATCAAAGGTTTCAGACTGGTGAAGAAGCAGTCGACTCTTTCAAAAGAGCTATTGAACACTCCCACTTTGGAGTGTAATAAATGTTTTAATAACTGGTTCGAGCGAATGGAAAAGTGTATTAAACTACGTGGTAAATACTTTGAAAACAAGAAAATATACTATAAGGTTCTAGTTGTATTTTTTTTGGTCAAACGACAAAACGTAGAAACAGAAATAGAAACTTTTTTATTCAATGTAGATTATAAACAATACTTATTGAAAGTCATTTCATTTACCAGGCATTTAAAAGGCATGCATCATATAATGAATGAAAATTTAAACTGTTGAGACAACTGTTTTGTTGACATGTTCAAACAGTATTGTAAAATAACATATAATTATTATTATATTCTCCATAGCAATAATATTTTCTATATTACACACAGTCCACCTGATAGTCCAGGATCCATCGCCCATTTTTGCACGTGATTACTATCAAGCTAATTTTCCGTGAGTAGCTTTATTTTGATGAGACGCCCAATAATTTCCTGTACGAAACTCTCGATTGTGGTAGCTAACAGAAGTAGCAAGGATAAAATATGTTGATTTGATGATTCTCAAATATTTATTACTAACTGATTTTTTTTTATTAAATCTCAAGATAATTATCTAAATTATTCGAAAAAATATTTGTCCTACAAAATCTGTGGTTTGATTAAAGAGCTCCAATCCAAGAGCTCTATCCAATATGTATCGATAACGAGGTCATCATAAATGATTACTAACCAGCTGATTTTTTTACTTAGTTAATATTTATATAATTTAACAGACATATTGTCCTACAAATTGCGTGGTACGTTATCCTGGTCCTACGCTCAAAAGTAGTAGATCCTTTATGTAAAAATAATTACTATTTACAAGCTGAATCTTCGTGAATAGCTTCGTTTCGATGAGTCGCCCAACAATTTCCTATGCGAAAATTCTCAATTGTGGTAGCTAACAGAGGTAGCAATGATAAAATATCTCGATTTGATTATTTTCAAAAATTTAAAAGAAGTTAGAATAATTAATAATCGTCAATTTAAATACAACAAAAAATTAACAAAAAAAAATTGTGTCGCTTGGGTTTCTGTATTTTGCTACCACAACTGAATCACACCGGTACGGCGGTACGCATGCGCAGAGCCTTGCTTACTCCGTATTAGGTATCCCACGTTAGTGTCGACCATAAGCCTGCAAACATTTTCTCAGTCGACCACGTGTTTTATTTTGTCTTGAGAAATTAGTTCAGGAAATGTTTTTTGTGCTGGAAAATAATTATGGAGTGTTTTTTGTGTAATTTGTTTTGTGAAAACCCTACTTTTCGATGTTAGTAGCGAAGATTTATCAGATGAATCTGATGAAGATTAACTTCTTTTATATATATTTACCATTTACCATTCGTGTTACAACCGTAACATAGCTGCAGCAAGGCTCTACCATGTAATTCAGTATTTAAATACAAAGAGTGGAATTACATCACATTTAAGAATGATTATTTTTGATTGGACTTTTATAGTGAATGATACATATTATAGTCAACTATTACTACATTATATAATAAAATAAATACACTATAATTAAATGTAATCTCTCTTTAATATTATGGTATAAATGTACATGTTGAAAAGATGATACTATTTGAAATAATACAATACCAATATAAACGAATAATATAAGGGACTGGCCTCGCAGTTAAGCGTCAAAAAGGCAGAAGGCAATATTCTAGCATTGGCATTGTTATTTATTCATTATTTTTGGCAAATAAAGATAAGTAATTAATAATCCATCTTCATCAACACTTTAAAACAACAGTTATAAATAATAAAATAAAAACAGTTAAGCCCATTTTTACTTATGACATAGTACTTACATTGATTCTAATATAACTTACAATTGTTAAGAAGGTGGTGAAGATCATGAGAGAAGAAAGCTTGCTCAGAATCGGAAGCTAATGCGAGCAACGTAATTCCACTAGTATTGCATAACAATGCGCGAAGTCGCGCAGGCCGGCTTGTTACATGATGCACGCTGTACTCAAGAAGAGATACTTTGCTGAAATTTTTTAAATTTTCATAAATATAATGTTTGTCGTGTGTTGGCGGTGTAAGAATACCATAACCCCATTTCGTCCCGTGGGTAAAGGCGACTACGGAAAATACCGGAACAATTTTATGGTTTCTGATAGATGGCGTTACGCCATCTAGTTCGTTGTACAATAACCCGTCGCAACAACACAACAGCAGCGACAAATATACGGCACTACGATTGCTTGCCTATCGTGAATAAAGAAAACCTCTCTAAAACAGGAAAGGCTCACGTCTAGCAGTGGAATTTTACGAACTGATAATAATGATGAAGGTTCATAACTTAGTATCACCTCCGTTACCGTTATTGGTAAAGTATTTCGGAACACATTATTTTTGTTTGTTTATGATTCATTTTCACTTTAATTGTTCTTTGTTTTAATAGCCGTTTATAATAATCTAAAAAAGGGTTTAAGCCTGTACTACCAAAATGTTCGTGGTTTACGGACGAAATGTAATGAACTATATAACAATATCTTATCTCAAGACTATGATATAATCTTATTGACCGAAACCTGGTTAAAAAGTGATATTTATAATAACGAACTATGTGATCTTAGATATGATGTTTTTCGAAGTGATCGTAATTATTTATTGTCAGGGAAAAAGGTCGGTGGCGGAGTGTTAGTCTGCATACGTCGCGAATTGAGTGCATGTCTATGCGGCCAATGGTCCAGTGCACCTACAACGCATGAGTCGGTGTGCGTGACTTTACCTGCACGTACGCTTGGGTCCTCAGTCGATCTACATATAGCTATAGCGTACATTCCACCTGACTCGAACGTAATACAGAATGGATTGAATGATATTAAGCATAACTTATCGCATTGCATTGAAAATTATCCCATGGACAATTTTTTACTCGTGGGAGATTTTAACTTACCGTGTTTGAGATGGGACTCCAACAATTGTATTGCACACGTAGACGGTTCATCTTTTATGCATAATTTAGCGATATCTTTCGTTGATGATTTAGGTTACCTCGGTCTTAAGCAATACAATTATAACTGTAACTCAAAAGGTAATATTCTGGATCTATGTTTTTGCAATTTACCATTGGTTGTTAGAGCTTCGTTACCTCTCATAAAGGAAGATATATATCATCCTGCATTAAATATTGAAATACCTGATTTTAGCATACAACCCTTTAAAAAACGTAAACATCCGCGTTTTAACTTTTTCAAATGTGACTATGAGAAGATGAATAATTATTTTAAAAATATTGACTGGCGCTCAGAATTAAATGCCGCCGACACAATTAATGAAGCCGTAGATCTTTTTTTACAGTAAATTACATGAATGTTTCTCCATTTACGTACCCATTAACATGTATTCTAACAACCGACATTTTTATCCTGTATGGAATTCTTCTTCACTAATAAAAATCATTCGCGAAAAATGGCGCGCTCATTGTAATTGGAAAAAATACCGTAACCCAAGAGATTATGATGAATTTTCGTTTTTAAGAGCACGACAACACCGTATTCAACTTAATTGTTTTAACTTTTTTTACAAACAATGCTGAACAATATATTAGGTCCAATCCTAAACACTTTTGGAAATATGTCAGTTCGAAAAGGGGCTGTTCCAGTTATCCAAGAAAATTTACACTACGAGGCCAGACATATGACGAGGGTGCAAGTATTTGCTCAGCTTTTAATAAATTTTTTCAAAGTGTTTTTATTACACCTTCATCAAGTAGCCAAACTCAGCCTCGTCAGACATTTGAGTACTCCAGTACGGAATCATTATCCCGCATACATATTACTAGAGAAACAGTTCTTAAATTCCTAAAATCACTTGATAAATCTAAGGGACCTGGAACTGATGGTATTCCCCCTATTGTATTGATTTCATGTGCTGATAGCTTGTCATTGCCAATTACTATTTTGTTTTGTCGTTCTCTCGATGAATGTATTTTCCCAGATTTATGGAAAAAAGCAAATATAATTCCCATACATAAAAAAGGACCAAAAACCTCAATTGAAAATTACCGTCCGATTTCTATTTTGAACACTATCAGTAAGATTTTTGAAAAAATTGTTTACAGCTTCATCTACCCCCTTATAATCCGTGGCATTCCTGATACACAGCATGGCTTCATAAAAGGACGGTCTACGGTATCAAATTTGTCTTTGTTCTCAAGTTATGTCCTCCTGCATATGGAGAATGGTGGTCAGGTGGACGTGGTCTACACTGATTTTGAAAAAGCTTTCGATCGTGTAGACCACGACCTCTTGCTCCGCAAGCTCTATTTGCTTGGAATTCAAGGAGACCTACTCCGCTGGGTGTGCTCCTACCTTTCCAATCGCTCTCAAGCTGTAGTGCTGGGAGGATACAGATCCGACTATGTAACTGTTCCCTCGGGTGTCCCTCAGGGATCGCACCTTGGCCCGCTATTCTACAATGCGTACATCTTTGACATTGCCAACTGTTTTTCTTATTCTAATCACCTATTATATGCAGATGATAAAAAAATATATCGGGCAGTTAATTCTGTTGAAGATTGTAAATTGTTACAATACGATTTGGATAAACTGTTTTCTTATTATCAACAAAACAACATCTTCGTTAATATTAAAAAATGTCAGAGTATAAGCTTTACGCGCAAGAAAAGTCCAATTGTTTTTCCTTATAACTTTAATAATCAACTATTAACGCGGGTCAATGATGTACGCGATCTCGGCATTTGTTTCAAGATGCTCCTCAATATGCATTATGATAATATAGCAGATAGAGCTTACCGTATGCTTGGATTTGTTCTAAGAACCTGTCAACCGTTTAAAGGTACTTTAGCATTGAAAACGTTATATTTTGCATATGTGAGAAGCATACTGGAGTACGCTAGTCCTATATGGTCGCCTTCATATGAAGTTTATAAGGCACGCTTAGAGCGTATTCAGAAAAAGTTTTTAAAATCTCTAAATTTCAGGTGCGACGGCACTGCACACACATTTATGTCTTATAGTGATAATTGTCGTAAATTTAATTTTCTCACGTTAGCGGAACGCCGTGAGATCTTAGACATGGGTTTTTTGTTCGATATTTTACGCGCTCAACTTGATTGCCCTGCTCTTCTTTCACAAATATCCTTTAATGTACCCCCGACGTAGGACTAGGCATACACCTTTACTGGGTGTTCCCTTACATCATACTAATTATGGTAAGAATTGTGTCCTCTCCAGAATGGTTAGAACTTTTAACACAAAATTTTCTCATATTGACCCATTTATCCATTCAAAAAATTTATTTAAGCGAAAGGTAGTACAGGCTTTGACAGTAGACAATTAACCTTTATTGTTTATGTTGGTAGCCTCTGTAGTTTTGTAAATCCGTAGTAATATCTCAAGTTATATGTCTTCAATTCGCGTATATTCTATGTATGTATATTTATTTAAATGTTAGTATATATATACTTGCCTTTTTTATTTAAATGTATAAGTGTTTAATTATAATATGGTTATATGTATATGTGTATATGTACGTGCTTACATGTGTAAATATTATCCAATTGAAGTATAAATAATTTTCTAGGTCAGCCATGACAAACATTTTAAATTTATTTTTGATTTAAGGTTTTGTAATATTCTTTTTTTCAACTTTTCATACTTCTGATTTGTGATAAATTGTGAAAAGAGGATGACTATTATTGGCCCTATGTAAAACATATTATATAAGATTTTTTTTCATAGAATGAAGGCTGTTGTTATCCCTAATAAATAATAAATAATAAATAAATAAAGTAAAGAGTGATTAATTATTAGTGTGATTTAAGTTTTAATTGGTGTTCAGTAATTAAAGTGTCAATTTTGGTAATTCAATCGGCAGTTTTTATTGTCACGAACCCTAAGCTCGTAACAATACTTAAAATTTTTAAGTACTTTAAACAAAAGCTACATACCATTTAGAACTATTTAGATGTTACTAAAATAATTTTTGAAATCATATAAACTTACTCTGAAAAATCAAGATAATTCTTCTGCGAACCTTGATTGGCATACTGCTTGGAACCAATATTAATAAACTCCATATTTGGCACCAAAGGATCCGCTTTCTTATTTCTTCCTGATTCCTTAACATAACATACTTTTTACTCTCAATTTAGTATTTGAAAAACATTTTATTACATGATAATTAAAAAAAAATACTATAACTTACAAAATTAAATGGATTGGTCCATAACAAATGACGCTTTATCTTGTCAGAAGAATTTCTGTTATTCTGCAATTAAAGAAAATAACATTGGTATAAAATATAAAACCATTATACTCCTAAAACCAATGTCTGTAAAACTAGTGAAGTATAATATAAAACACTAAATTCTATGGTGAATTTACTAATAAAATTCAATAACCCTTTAGGTATATTCATTTTAGCTATATTGTTGATGAATAAAGATAGATACAATACAATACCTTTTTAATTTGAATAGAAAATTCATTTATCTATCTTTACTATATTAATATTATTTATTTATTTTGGGGTATTTATAGTTTTCTCATCTGGTTTGGCTGTATAAATATATAAATAAAAATGATAAATATACTTAAATATCAATAAAATAAATACATAAAAATACATATATAAATAAAACTCAGATGGAAGCCCTCAGCAAGGGAGACCAAACGGTCGAGGATTAGGGAGAAATACTATCGAGGAGCACACCGCCTTCTGCATTTGAGCCCGGAGCGGTCTGTCACGGAGTCACAGTCGCCTCACATGACAGATGATTATTTATTTTTTTATTATTTAATTATTAGTTTTTTTTAGTACATTTAATATAGGACATTGCACCTATCCATCACAATATTAAATTACAATTTCATGTTCGGTATGTCAGGCAGAAATTGCTTAAAACAATATAACCACCATAGTTCATAGGTTTTCCGTTATTGTAACAACTTTAGATATTTGAAATAAAGAATTATGTATCTATCTAGTAACTCGCGTAAAACATACTCATGGAAAACACATTGCAAACAGTACTGTAAAAAATATTTACATGTGGTAGAGATAGCGGAAGGACCAATCTCTCACAGAATATTAACTAACATCATACTTCTGTATCTCATCATAATATTTATTTGAATTTAGAATTCGAAATCCAACCAGCCAATAACCAGCTACTTCAATTCTTTTTTTTTTTCATAAAATAACGACGACGAAGAAGCATACAGTCTACCTAATGGTATGTGGATGCTGTGGCCCATAGACATCCACATTTACCCTCGATTAAGAATCAAAACGCAAATGCGTTATCACCCGTGAAATGCCTCGTTTACAGTAAAAAAGGGTCTCCAGATCTCTACACTCAACACATGAAACACAGCAGTATTAAGCTGCTATTTTACTGTGGTCCTTTCCAGTTTGAGCTGACCCATTCGTGCGGCAACTATAATATAGCTGCAGCATGGCTCTACCACATATACAAATGTAGCCAGTTGAACAAAACTAATTTCATAGGTAATTTCCCAATGTATAAAGATATTTTATTTTCTATTTGACATTTGTGATTTTTATAAGCAACAGTATAATGAATCCCAATCTGAACTTATGTTTTTTTGTTTAAACAAACATTCATTAAAAATTAATGTTTCCTTTATTTATTAGAAAGGGATGATGTGCTAATTCTCACAAAAATTTGATAGCAACAGACTTGGTTTTAAGAAAGCACTAATGTGTAAGTAAGCATTCCCAATATTAGTAGCTAGTATGCTCATAAAACAAATTACATACCTGACACCTCTTGAAACGGTTTAGTAAAGTTGGGCTTATCTTTCTAAAAGAAGCATGTATAGATATGGAGGGAACATCTTCTGGCACACACTCCGGTTTATACGATTTGAACAGTCCTAAAAGAACTTGGAGCTGGCGATATAAGTTCTGGAAAGACAATAGTACATTATAAAAAAAGACAAAACAGAGTTAAATGTGTTCTTTTCTAACTTGTGAAGTATAACTATTGTAATTGGTCCAATTCGAGTTGCAATGATGGAAATGTGTGTTGTTTATATTTACGAATTTTAGCAATTATAGTTTGCTTTTGAATAATAAAATATTATTAGCAGTTACTGTAGATTCATCCATGTGAATTGTCAACTTGCCAAATAGTAAAATTGTGACCATCTTCAGGATGCAAAATAGGAGCAATATTAATGTCGTGAGATATTTGGTACTCGATCACCAATCCATCTAAAAGGCAAGGATGAATAGGCTTTTGTTAAGTCAGTGCACATCATCGCTTAGGCTACATCACCACTTACCATCAGGTGGTATTGTAGTTTTGCGCTGATTTAGAATAATTAAAAAAAACTATGCTCAGTGATGGACCTTATATAGATTGATAAAAAAAAGTTATATAGTTACCTTTTTTCCTTCTCTTATTTTAGCGTAGTTTAACAGCTCAAGAACTTTCCTTCTAGTAACATCACCTGGTTTAGTTAAATTGTATACCAGTTTCATAACATGAGGTGTCTGAAAAATATAAATAAGCAACATTCACTTAATTTTAATAATAAGAAGCTGAGCGCTAATATTTATTCAAAATTTAAAATATTATGAACGAAAACAATACATAATTATTAGAGATGGGCCGAATATGGATTTCACCGATTAGGAATATTCGGCCGAATGTTAGGTAAAATTTTTACCGAACCGAATATTCGGCCGAACATTATTCGGCAGGATAACCTTGGTCCCTAACCAATTTATGTCGAAACTTGTTACCGTAAAGCGCGCGGGATCAGCGCCGGACCCTGCCTCTCGCTCCCCGCCACACCTGACAGTTATTGCATCATATAGTACTGAGCAAATTGCCTGAACATGCTTATGTTTTGACTATTCTTGTGATTAAAAAAAGTATTTCGTTGTTTTATTCTTAGTTAAAGTTACAGCATATATACGTCCCACTCCTGGGAACAGGCCTTCGCTCATTTCTGAGAGGGTTTTAGGCCAAGGAATTGTCCGCCGCGCTGCCCCAATATGCCTGTCTTCGAAATATTTTTTTTCTTATTTCTCAGACAAGCAGGTTTCCTCACGATGTTTTCCTTCACCGCTGAGCACGTGGTAAATCAGTACTTAAAATTGCAATCAACAATTTCATTGGTGCCGGCGGGGATCGAACCCGGTTTTCTTGCGCACTGTGAAATTTACAGCGAGCGCTAACCATCTGAGCTACCACGGCTCTTTATTTTTGGTGAAAAAGAGCCGTGAGAATTTTATTCTTAGTGAAAATTGATAATTATATGATAAAAATGAGCGGCAGGAGATTTATTTCTTGCGCAGTGTGAAATTTACAGCGAGCGCTAACCATCTGAGCCACGGCTCTTTATTCTTGGTGAAAAAGAGCCGTAAGATTTTTATTCTTAGTGAAAATTGATAATTATAATATGATAAAAATGAGCTGCAGGAGATTTACTATTTGAACTTATTTTAGAGAAACTGACGACCAAAGTAAAATGAAATGTATTAATGTAAAGTAATGTTTCTTTGTTTGATTTCAAAAATATTTTATTAAGTTTCTATTTGCCATAATCGGAAATAAATCCATAGTACCTCAAAAACATAAATGTATAGATTTATGCATCTGAGGCACTCTAGAGTAAGTAGATTTGACCCATAAATAAAATATACTTTCAACAGTAAAAGACATTGCACTACTCAATTCGTACATTTCAATATATTGGACATTATGAAAACGAATGTTCAGTGATTTAGCCGAATATTCGGTAAAGCTGCCGAATATGCCGAATACCGAATATAAAACGAATATTTGGCCCATCTCTAATAATTATGTTATATACCTCAAAGAATAGATTGAAAGCATTAAACTTAAAGTTACTAAATTCATTAATTAATTTTAAAACAAATTCAGTTTGATTTAGCTAAACGGGTGCTGTACTTTTTAAGTTACAATAGCTTCAAATTTTGTGACTATATTTCTTTCTCTAGTTTTTTTTTCTTCCAAAAAGCATGTACCACCTAATATATCAAGCTATACATAATTAACGAACACACAAAATATGCACAAATAACTCACCAAAGCTTCATATGCTAACATATAGTAAAACAATTCATATCCATAGTTCAGTTCATCTATATCTATTGAGTCACTGTCCAAAGCAGCTAAAACAAACATTAGTAGTAGTTAGTTTCAGTTACAGTACTAATGTAGTATTTTTAGAAAAGATTAAAATGAAGTATGAGCGCGAATATAATGCTTTTAAGGTTTATGTACCAAGATATAAAATTGATATATTTCTTGATAGTAGTCTATGGCCTGAGGGAATATTATTTGGCAAATATAAATATTAACTTCAGAAACCGTACAGCAGGTAAAAACTACAGTAATTATGTTGTATCACATAAATAATGGATAGTAAATACTTGAAAATTATATCCTTTAATTGTAAATCAGTCACAAGATCAGTCGAGGACATACGAGCGCTATGTAAATCTGCGGATATCATAGCATTGCAAGAGACATGGTTGTTACCGTATGATGCAGCCTACATCGCGGGAATCCATCCAGAATTTGACTGTTGCAGTAAGTCTGCGGTTAACACCGGTGACGGATTGTTTAGAGGTCGACCGTACGGTGGTTTTGCCATTATGTGGCGTAAATCTTTGTTTACATCAGTGTCTATTGTGCAGTGTAACTCATTGCGTTTGGCCGCGATTAAAACCGTTGTGAACGACAGGTACGTTATTCATACGTAATCCCTGCGACTCGTGGGACAATTTAACAGAATTTACAAGTTGTCTCAGTGAAATAAATGCTATAATAGAATGTAATAATATAAATTCTGTATTTATATTAGGATATTTTAATGCGCATCCTGGCGAATTGCTTTTTAATGAAATGAGTAATTTTTGTTGTGAACAAATATGGGATGTAGTGGACTATGACTATTTAAAAAAAATATGATACGTTTACGTTTATAAGTGATATAAATGGTTCTCATTGCTGGCTGGATTATTGCATTACAACTAAGTGAGCCATGAAATCTGTTGAAATATTAGGGTACTTTATGATGTTTTCTGGTCTGACCTTTTTCCACTTGAAATAACTATTGATATGGAAAAACTAAGATATAAAGTACAAGAATGTATTAAATCTGATAAAGCTGTATGGGGAGGGGGGTGTTAGAAACCGAAGTCAAATAAAAAAATATTTTGAAATTTATTGTGAAAAGCTTAGATATATAGATTTTCCTGAAGAGTTTAGGTCTTGTTCTAATCGCCACTGTTCTATTTTGGAACATAATAATCCATAAAATGTATGACAGCATTATATGTACTTTGAGAGGGGCGGCAATAGCGACTCATGAGTATAGGAAATGTAGAAATAAATATGTTGTGGTTTGGAATAAATATGTTAAACCATTTCACAGTGACGCTCGAATTTGCTTTCATATGTGGGTATTATATAGAAAACCTAAAATTGGAATTTATTACGAAAAAATGAAAGAAAGTAGAAAACTGTTTAAATCCAAAATAAAATAGTGTCGGAATAACGAACAAAAAAACTAAAATGCAAATTTTAGCTACACATATTAAAACCAAAGACTTTTCTAAATTTTGGAAACAAACCAACAAAATGAATCCAAGGCTGGGAGTCCCATCGAGTATAGATGGTGAAAATGATGCGGGGAAGGTGGCAAATATTTTTAAAAATCACTTTAATTATACCAATCAAAAATCATCGCAAAATTTCGATACAGGTATCCGGGATGGAGATAAAGCCATGTACTTTACGGCTAAACATGTTAAAGACGTAATTAAAAACATAACACGCGGTAAATCTCCAGGTCATGACAGTATCAGTATCGAACACCTGCAATATGATGGTGTCCACCTTCCACGTGTCCTGGCCATGTCATTTACTTTTTGCATAGGACACTCGTACTTACCTTCTGATTTTATGAAAACGATTGTTGTACTAGTACTGAAAAATAAAACAGGAGATTCGTCAGACAAAAACAATTATAAACCTATCTCCCTAGCTACTTCTATAACGAAAGTGATGGACGGTTTGCTTGAGAAGAAGTTACAGGCATCTATTAATCTGTGTGATGCACCATTTGGTTTTAGCCCGCAGTTATCCACAGAAAGTGCTGTGCTTTGTCTCAAGCGCACCGTACATTACTACACATATCGTGGGACACCTGTTATAGGCTGTTTTTGGACCTATCAAAGGCATTTGATATGGTTAAATACGATATACTTTGGAAGAAGCTGGCTACTGAAACTAATGACTTTCCTAATGACTTAATAGGTCTGTTTCAGTATTGGTACGACAATCAACGGAATCAAGTGAGGTGGGCAGGAGTACAATTTGAGGCGTATGGGCTGGAGTACGGAGTAAGACAGGGCGACCTGTCTTCTCCTGCACTTTTTAATCTCTACGTAAACAGTCTAATTGTAGAACTCAGTGGTAATGCAGTCGGCTGCTCTATTGATAATATTGCATATAACAACATAAGTTACGCCGACGATATAGTGCTGCTGAGCCCATCAATTAGTGGTCTAAGAAAATTATTCAGTATCTGTGAAAAAGTATGCAACGGCTCATGGCCTACGAATTAATGTCAAGACAAGTTAAATACCTGGGGCACTGGGTTACTGAAAATATGTCGGATGATGTTGACATAGAGAGGGAACGCAGAGCTCTAGCTATGAGAGCGAATATGCTCGCCCGTAGATTTGTAGGGTGTAATATAGAAGTTAAACAAACTCTTTTTAGAGCCTATTGTCAGTCCTTTTACACCTGTATCCTATGGGTTGAGTATACACGGAGGACGCTCACAACCCTGCACATCCAATATAATAACGGCTTCAGGATGCTGATGGGGCTGCCTCGGTACTGCAGCGCGTTGGCAATGTTTGCTGAGGCTCACATAGACAGTTTCCCAGCTATCCATGCGCAAACGGGTAGCCTCCGCATTGCGCCGTGTCCGGGATAGCTCCAACAGCCTCCTGGCAGCGATAAGGAGTCGCTATTGTTGTCCTATCTTGAGGCACTGGAACAGCGTCCATATCGTCTCGAGACCTGCTCTGGTAAATATAGGATGCTGTGTATACAATCAAGGGCAAAGAAAAATAGTCATAAACAATAATTTTCTATTTCACAAGAAACAAAAGAAGGAAATGAGGCAGGCTATCCATAAGATGAGTCGATGAAATAAAAGATGTTGTAGGTGGCACTTAGAAAAGAGTGGCTGGTGGCAGAGAAAAGTGGTCACAGTTGGAAGAGGTCTTTGCCTAAAGAGGCACACAGACAGTGATGTCGAGTCAAAATTAGTTTTTAAGTAAATATGGAAGATTGTATCAACCAATACTTGTCTAAGGCCCGCCGCTGATTGCAATTTTTTGTCGACGTGACTTTTTGTCACTTAGTCAAGTGTCAATGAAGTCAATGAAAACTATATTGAGTGCGCTCATTATGGTGACGTGATAATACGGTGACAAATAGTTGCAGCGGCAGGCAACACCGGAGTGACGTGTCTGTCACTCGCCCTGTGCATTACTATGGGAGTCCGCTCACTGGTGACTTTTCTTTGCTTGTCACTCGGCCGGCGCCGCGCGTTCGGAGTAGACGTATGCTATTTAAAGTATTTGTTAAATAGTATCAATATATGTGTCAAATTACTCTGTAGATTATTGTGATATTGCAATTTTTTATGCCTCTGATTAATAAAGACTTTTTGTTTAATTAAGTAGTTGATGTAGTTTTTGTTACTTATCTCAAAGTTACCGTTAACCTTTCTTCTGCTGGAATAGCTTTGCAAAGCCAGCAACTCATCAAAAGAGTTTATATACATACGAAGATAATTAAAAAACTTTGGTGGATACTGACGTAATTCAGAATATATAGTGTAGAATTTTCCTTTAAATAATCTTTCCGTGTATATAGGATGCACCCAGAAGCGTTTTTTCCGTTTCATTTTTCTTCTACGTATTTCAAGAGCACAAATCACGGCAACCTCGTTGAAGTCCATTACAAATATGAACGCGATTTGTTACCCAAGAACAGATTCAGTGAGCGCATCGTGGGTGACAGCAGGTGACAGTAATAATAAATCACGGTGACAAAAATTCCAATCAGCGGCGGGTCTAAGTAAAAGCTTTTATTATTATTATATTGAAGTGCTGAAGTTTTGAAAAAGCATAATAAGTTGAAATACAATGGCTATAACATTATAAAATCTATTCAAATGTAGAGGGGTAAGAGACAGCGCGCACGGGTAACTTTTGTCACCGTTACATTAAAGTTTTTGTCATTGTCACGTCACCTTTCCAAAGTGGAGTGCGCTCACGAAAGCTAACAGTGACAAAACGTTTTACAAAATCGAAGCGTCATTTTCCGATATGGATTTCGAAGAGACGGTCATTGTTTATGAACTCATCAGACTCAGGAGAAAAAGAAAGCGAAAAGTATACTGGGTACACCAACTTTGGAGTGACAGGAAGTTTTATACTATGTTTTATAAACTTCGAGAACATCCAAATAAATTTTTTAAATATTTCCGAATGAGTTTTAGTAGTTTTGATGAATTACTTCGCACTTTAGGACCTGCATCATTATACCAAAATACGAACATGAGATTGTCTGTCCCAGCTGAAAAAAGACTCGCTGTAACTTTGAGGTAAGTAAAAAAATAAGTAATTTTAAATGATTTTTATTTCAATCAAACTAACTACAATGTGATTTTAATTTAAAAAGTAAGAATTTATTTAATTATCCGTGGTGATATTGTAGTCCTGGCAAATATCATAAACTTCGGAATCTTCATTAGAGTCAGCTGCAAACTGTGAAATATATGATTGAATAGTACTCGAGGCTGAAGAGTCTTCATAAAGTATCGGGTTTTGATTACGAGCAGATGAATTCGACTGAGTGTATGTAGATGTAGCCAAGTGAAGGTTGTTTTGGGGACTTGGCGGTGGTGGCGGTAAAGAGACACAATATTTGGGATTGATTTGTAAATTTTGAGGACTTGTAGATGGAATACTTTGGATTGGAGAAGGGGATAAAGTCGGCTTTGTAGCTATGTGACGTTGATTTTGAGGACTCGACCGAGCTAGAGACACAGAATACTTGGGTAGGATTCAGAAATTTTGAG